AATGTTGAAAAACCCTTTAATTGGTCATCTCGACATCGAAATGTATGACTATGTAAAAAAAAAAAAGATTTTAAGTCTCAAAAATAATGCATTTTACAACATATTATCTGCACCGTCCATTTTTAAGATTTTAATATATTTATAGATCTATTTGATTTTAACCATTTTTGAAATTTTAAATTTTATAATTAGATATAAAAATAGAGCTTGAGATAATCCTAAGAACAGTTTACATCAAAATTATATACCATGATAAAATTTGAAGGTGCACCTTACCACTACAGCTACGGATGCATCCGTATGTGCATATGGTTATATAATAAAATGGTTAAACATATGAAAATCTTGAAAATAGACGGTGTAGATAATATGTTGTAAAATACACTATTTTTGAGACTTAAAATCTTTTTATTTTTCATGGTAATACTTTTCGATATCGAGATGATCAATCAAATGGTTTTTCAACATTAAAATTATATTTTTTAATAAATTTTGAGGTACATCTGTAGTTTTACATTATACAGTATAAGGTTGCATCCGTATATAAACTTTTTCTTTTACTATTAGTAGTTTTGTTTTACATTATAAGGTTGCATTTTTATATAAACGTTTTCCTTTACCATTAGGGATTGCTTTTTTAGTTTAAAATTTAAAATATTACTATTAGTGTACGAGATTTCCTTTACCGAAAGTGCTTTCTGAACTGGGATTTGTGGTGAGGCTTTATTTCGTTTCTCATATAAACGCAAAACATAACACAGGTGTCTCCTGTCTACCTCTTGGCTACAGTGAAGTGAATACACTGATTAACTCATGAGCCCTTCTCCTGAAAGTCTTATCCGTTCTCCAAATTCCGGCCATATGTCAATTCCGGCGATCTTTTCCGGTGAAATCCCGGTTAAGCTTGAAATTTCCGGGAAGCCCAAAATAAACCTTGTGAAAATCCGGGTTTTGCTTGAGATTTCCAGGAATCCCAAAATAAACCTTTTTAAGGCCCTTTGTCCACTGTAATGGCCTAATTTTTACTTGCCGGAACGTAGAAATTTCTTATTGTATGGTCGAAATTCCAGAGATTGATAGCGAAAGGGAAAGCTCTGGTTAATGGATCCGCATTCGAATCAACGCAATTTGATCATTGAAGAGAGAGATGATGAGAGAGAGATTACTAGTAAGAAGGCAACTAGGGTTGCTTCATTGGACATTTTCAGAGGCCTCACTGTAGCGGTAATCTTTTCTTTATTTTTATTTGTTCTCATCAGGTGATTTTTTTTGCTGGGTTTTTGAATGGATTAGGGATCTTTGTACAATTAATTCAGGAAATATGATTATCTTTTTTTGTTCTTTTCTTTTCTTTTTTTAAGGGAAAAATCATATTTTAAGTAATTTTTAGGTTAAATTATTGAGGAAGATAAGCGTTCTGAACTGTTCTAGATGATATTAAAGGAGAACGAGTGTTATATCATGGGGAATTGCTGGTCACACGCATGTTTTTTGCCATCTTCTCTATGTATGTATGGTGGAAATTCTGGTGAGATCGTGATTTTCATATCTCCACCCATGTTCTGGCAGAGATTTTAGGCTTTTCTTACTGGAAAAAGGCCTAAGTTGGTATATGTGAAGACAATCATAGTTTTAGTAACACAGAGGAAAAGCATTGTCTTTAAAAAATAAAAAAAAAACGTAAATAAAAGCAGTGTTTCAGGAGTATAAGTCAAATAATTTCTTATTAATTTCATAAATTTCTATTGTTTAGCACTGGCTTTCAAATTTCAATAACTGAATATTAATGCAAATTCAACACATTCTCGCTCTTTAGTGCTACTTTTTTCGGTCGACTTATAAATTATTTTTTAGCTGTTTAGGGCTCAGTAATTGAATGAATGCATGATTTCTTGGTGGGCCTCTTATACTTTTTGTGTGGTTCTTTTGATCTGTTTATGAGCTGGGTGCCTCAGTGCCCCCAGTGATAAACCCCACTTATTAATTCCAGAAAGGCTAGGAATCTTGAACATCCGTTTTCTAAGTGGCAGGAACGTGCTTAATTTTCCATGTTCGACCTGTTTACTCGTGTATTGTTGTAATGATGAAGATGTTGGTGGTGGTGGTGGTGATAAAAGCACTGTTGTTATGGAAATTAATAAGCAATTCAGTTTATTCACAATCTGAGTGTGGTGGTTTACATTTTGAGTATATGGGGAATTTCAAATGGAATGAGTTTGAAATGGAATTTATGGAAACATCAGTAGTGAATAACATTCTCAAAAAAAAAAAAAAAAAAATCAGTAGTGGATCATTGAACGCCATGCGGTCCATTGATTAAGTTGCACAATATTCTTTATACTCGATACTTGTATCATCTATTGATGGGGATGTTTATTTTTTCTTGCTGTAATTTGCGAAGGATTTATAAAATGGTTTTGAATCAAGGTTTGAAAAATTGTCGATTCAGATTGGAATCTTCCGATCCAGATCAGAAATTGTTGATGGCGATCCGGATCCCGTAATATATCGAGATCCAGCCGTGCCCCCCCTCCCCCCAATCCGGCCGGGTTGGGGCGGCGGTCTTGAAGGTACTTTATAATGTGTTCCCTAGGCTCACCATTGTGGGCTCCGCCATCAAGACATCACACCCCTCATGCATGGCAGGTTACTATGCTATTGCCGGGTTACATCCCTTTTATAATGGTTTTGGCTTCTAAAAATTTACCAGTGGAACTATTTTGCTTTGTCCCTTGCTGTTGAGTTATAACCTCAACTGCCTTTTTCTTTTTTTAACTGTAACCACAATTGCGAGATCAGTTCGTAAAAAACGGTAGAAACTAGAAACCAATAGTATTTTACAGGTGGTGTGGTAAGAGTTTTACATAAGTAGTGAACCTTATACTTCAAGTAAGATTCAATTTATACAAATAAAAACTAACCACAAAAGGTTGTTGTGATTCAGTAAAATAAACTGTACGATGTACGTGGTATATGATTCGATATTTTTTTTTTTTAAATTTTCTGAATTTTGATAAATTTATTTTCCACTCTTTAGGGGAAAAATCATTTTTTGGATTTTTTTAATGTCATAACATTTGAAATTTATGAAGGGTTTTATGGAAGTGTTTCGTAATATTTTGTGAATTGTATTTATTATAATATTATAATTAATTTATTTGCATTATATTTAATTTATTTGCATTATAAATTTATAACGTATTATTTTTTTGTTATAGTTGTAAATAATATTTTTTAAATTAGATGATATTATAAGATGAATTTAAATTTTTTTTTATTTGTATAGTAAAATAATTATAAAATATAAACCAACAATTCCAATTTTAGTGTGTAGTATTATAGTTAGTTAGATTGTGATAATTTTGGATGAGTAAAGCAAATTAATAAATGTTTGATATTTTGATGTGATACTAATTTCACTTTACGTGGATATTATTTTTTTAATCTTATATAATGGAAGTGTTTTTTAATATTTTTTGAATCATTTTGATGCAATATTATTATCTTATATAATAATTAATACAGACATCCAAACAGGGAAACATCTCAATATTCACGTATTTTTGCAAATAATGAAAGTCCATAATGTAACACCCCTAAATTTTTTAGAAACTCAAAAAACATTATTTTTAGTGACTTTTTAAAACAATTTTGAGGTCAAAACAGGCCGATCCAGCCCCGATCTGGATCACCGATCCACCGATCCAACATGGTTTTTGGGATGGACGATCCGAGTCACCGATCTATTTTTTTATACGTTGTTTTGAATGTTGCAAGTGGTTGATGACACAATTGATTAATACCACATATTGTAAGCCACTGGTTCTTTTCATCTCTCTTGAGCCCTATATTGGTTCCCTTATATTAGAATATCAGATTTAAATTCGTTGAATACCTGAAGTCTTGGCGGGTCATTAATATCTTAATTTGGGCTTGACATGCCAATTCTCAGGTCTAAATAATGATGTGGTTATATATGATGTGGTTATAAATTTGGAGTGTTCTTTTTTGTTATTGAGAAGCATAATGCTGAGATCTCTACTACCATATTACTAACAAACTTGTGACAACCTTTGAGAAATGGTATTTAGTTAGTATGGTTCTTGTACAACCAAGGAAAAATGACTCAAGGAATATTTTGTATCACGCAGATGATGATTTTGGTCGATGATGCCGGAGGAGAATGGCAAAGTATTGGCCATGCGCCTTGGAATGGATGTAATCTGGCAGATTTTGTTATGCCCTTCTTCCTCTTCATTGTTGGCATGTCCATTGCACTTGCTTTCAAGGTTTCTGATCCTTCTACAGCGCCTTTGTTTGTTGCGTTTATGAATTATAATATGTTGGCATGTGTTTTGTGTATTTTCTCGAGGAACATCTGGGTCCCTTTTTAATTGGTATTGTACACTTTCTGGGTACCTTTCATTCATTCCGTTTCCTTTTCTTCATAGAGGATCCCAAATCTGCAATTAGCTATCAGAAAGGTGATTATGCGAACAATCAAACTCCTCTTCTGGGGCATCATTCTTCAAGGTCAGTATTGTAAAGATCTGTTTTAATCTTACCCCATTTCCTTAGAACTATATCTGTTCTTCTATATGTGACAGGAGGATATTCACATGCTCCTGACAAGTTAACTTATGGTGTTGACATTAAAAGAATAAGGTGGTGCGGCATTCTTCAGGTGAATATGATTCCTCCTCTAGGCTCTGAGTTTAATTTAACCTTTGACATCTCACAATGCCATGGGTCTTTGCTAGCGAATTGCTCTGGCTTACCTGATAGTGGCACTCTTGGAGATCGCAACAAAGAAGGCTGCATTTAAAGTTCTTCCACATCGATGTTGGGCTATATTCAAGTCCTATTGCTTGCAGTGGTGAGCCTTTCGTATCACACTATACATGTCAGTTGATAATACACAGGAGTTTCTATGTAGGACTAAACACTGATGGAATTTCTATTGCCAATTTCAGGATTGTGGGGGCGTGTTTACTTGTTGTCTACCTGGCAACATTGTATGGAATATATGTTCCCGATTGGGATTTTACTGTGCACAATGTTGATAGCCCAGATGATGGAAAGCATTTTACTGTAAGGGTATCTCTGAATATGAATAATGATGATTAATCACTGTTTCAAGCGTCCATTTTGCATCTAGAAATGATCTTGATGTTTGGTCCATTATATACTTATTTACAAATGCAGATACATTGTAACAGTAGAAAATAATTTGAGGTGATAGGGAAATGGAGATGATCACGTTGCATGTTCTAATTCATCTAAACCTACTTCATGTGCTGTGGCTCCTACAGCGAACATGATTTGGTAGTTTGCAAGTTCATGTGTAAGCTTGTAAGCTAGCCTCTTCCCATATTTTCCAATAATTTCCTTTGTAAAACCAACACGATCGAAATAAAAATTTCTTTGTACATTCTCCAATATGTTCTCAAGTTCTTCTTAAGAAAGGCACATTTTCCTTTGCACTTGTAGTTAGCTTTTACCTGGTGATTCTTAATTCTTTTTGATACGCATCTGAGACATATTTAGATGTTTATTCAATTGGAAGTATGCCAACCTCATAAATTTCTAGAGATGTTATTAATAATGATGATTGTTTCACTTTTTTCTCCATGGTTTGCATCCACTTATTATAAAAGAGAAATCTTCCTTTTTAGGCAATGCAAGGATCTTGATATACTTACGTTTGTCACTTCATGTATTTCCAATATATTAGTCATTTCATCAGTAACTCTTGGGCAACAGACCGCCCAGCAAAGACATTGCTGGGGATTGCTCTATAATGCTGTAGTTTGTGCTAATTTGTGGCTTTGGACGAAGGACATCATACATTCCCCACTTCTAGCATGCAGGCATGAAGTACGATAGCTAGGGAAAAAATGCGAGAGTTGTGAAGAATCACACTAACTACTCCTTGAATTGCTTTGACACACAGCTAACGATAACCAACCTCCCCTCCCCCGGTCATTCTCTGTGAAACTGAGCACACTTTATTCCATTTGATTCCAAGCTTTGTGTCGTAAGATACCCTAACCACGATCATTGCGTAGAAAACCAGCACTGTCAGGAGTTATTTTAACCTGCTTTGTTAAGTATGGTTAAAGTAGTATTAGTTCTTAATCCCATGGTTTCACAATGAGATGCACTATTTGGTACTCATGGAATATATGCCATCACTTGTCCTAATGAGATTGGTGTGAGAAAAATCTTAGGAAAGTTACCACTTATTTACTTTCCCATGTAAGTCAACCTTATGTTAACTGATGCTACCTTTTAACTGATGCTACCCTGAAAGGCTTATAATGCTTACAGAGCATGCTGACGATCTCTTCACACCGACTAGAAACATCTCATGAATGTAATGCACCTAGGTGATTGACCTGCACACCACCCAACACTTCCCATCCTCCATTGATGCACAGAAACTATATGAGATAATCTGTGATTAATTGTCCTTGTAATATAATTTGAATAGTTTTAGAAAAAAAAAATATGAAAAGAACTTTGTTTTCCTGAAGGAAACGATTCCTTTATCAAAAATGAGAAAGCAAGCACAATCAGCTTAGCCATTGCTGTAGAAAAAGGTACTGGGAGACAGTGTAGCACAAAAAAGCAGCCTAAGATTTTTCAGGCTCATGAATAGAAAAACATGAATGTATGACAAAAATCTAGTGATAGGTTTTAACTACTAAAATTTATCTGTTATCACATTCCATCATCTCAGAATTGTAATTCACTGTGATTTGTAGAAAAGCATCCCATCATCTTGGAAACCTTTTAGCTACATAAATGAAATAGCTAAAGCGAAGATGGTCCTTTGTATTAGTTTTATTTTTTTCTTCATTTGCAGCATTAGAAACTTTTTTCTCTCATCAAGTGTGTTGCTTTTTCCTGAAGACCAGATAAAATGTGGTGTGCGAGGGAAACTGGATCCTCCTTGTAATGCTGTAGGATATGTTGACAGAGTAATTTTGGGAATCAATCACATGTATCACCATCCGGCTTGGAGGAGGTCTAAGGTTGCTGAACTAATTCTTGTGACATTTTGTTATTGACCAAGCAAATTAACTATGTCATTGCTTTTTATTTAATTCTCTAAATTGGTAAGTGATTCAGGCTTGCACTGCTAGCTCTCTCTATGAAGGCCCTTTACGCAAAGATGCTCCTGCATGGTGTCAAGCTCCATTTGAACCTGAAGGCTTGTTAAGGTTTGTTCCCTATTTGTTAGAAGAACCTAAAATATTTGTTATGTGCTAGAAAATTTTACGTGTATAATTCTCAATTAGTCATGGTAGCTGATGCTCTCGCTAAGAGAGCATCGGCTTATGCAGGCGCAACAATTTGGCATTGTCGACCGCCAGACTTTCTTTTCCATTATTACATGACTTGGCGCAACTGCCCTATTATAGGGTTGTAAAATAATGTGTTCTTCACTTTCTATTAATGGAAAATTCTCCCCCACTGACTTACCCGAAACAAAAAATCTCAATTAGTTTAATTCCATAATATTCATATCATTGGAACACATAAAATTTCAGAGTCCAATCTGAGTTTCCTTTAGTTGTTTAGACTTTTCTTGTCTCTGCAACTTCTGTTGCACATTCATCTTCTTGCCCCTTTAATTACTTTTTTTATTATTTAAATTCTTTCAAATTCTCCTGAGGCGGATATTGATATTCTACCACTCCCTTGGATTCTGTACTGTAAGCTAGGTAATTGTGATTTGGGAGGAGAAGCTTCTGATGATAGCTCAGGCACCAACGTGTGGCTCCATGGAAACATACAGTACACAACTTTCACACAAAATAAGAGAGCATGAAATATGTTTGCAATGGAAAAATGTTTTCATAGAAGCTATAGGAATACTTACATTTGGCCTGGAAGGAGTCATATCAGTCTGCACATGTGGGTCTTGTCATGATTGTGCACAACTGTCAATCCTGAAATCTTAAGATCATATTATTATATTCAAATGTTTGAATTCGGAGGGTAGGGGATGGGGAGTTGGAGGAGGGTATTAGAGTTGCATTTCGCATGCATTCCTGAGGGTGGTGGTTTTCATTTTTTTGGTGTTATTCACCTATTTATTTTTATTTTTTACGATTGGGACAATTTGATCATTGATGATTGTGTAACTGGAAGTGAAGGTCATCAAACAAATTTACTTGATGAGAATTGTTCTTCATATGTTCCTCCTGTCACTTTTTCAATTTGGTACTGACTTCTCCTTCAACCTAGGTGACACTGGTGGCAACTGCGTTTTTCTGCAATAAATGTAATGCTATTACATGGGAAAATCTACAGATTGCTGATTCCTCAAATTCCCGGAAGATACATGTTGTCTTGGTTAAAAAGTTTGTCATGTTTTATAACATTTTTCTTCTTCATAGTGCCTTACCATGAATGTATGTTCGTTGGCCCTTATCGTGCATTTGTTTACTCCTGTTTGTCGTTCAAGCCCTTGCTCGTCTTAATTTTACCTCTTGCTTCTTACCACTTTTATTTCAACCTGATTTTGATAGGAACCAGCATGCCTTTTTGTGACACAGTTTTGCTCACCAGTTATGTTCCTTGAGCACTTCATTTATCGTTTTTCAGCTCAATTTCCGCCGTGCTTACCACAATAATTGGAGTACATCATGGGCATGTGCTCATCCATTTAGAGGTATTTTATTTGTTGAATATTCATTATTTATTAGCTGGTTTTAGATGAGCCCTGTGAAATTTTAGTTTAATGCTTCATCATTGTTGTGGATTCCCTCTCTTTTACAGGGCCATTCTGAAAGACTGAAACATTGGACTCTTATGGGCTCTTCGCTCCTCATATTAGGGATGGTTCTTCATTTCACAAGTGGTAGCCTTCTACCATCCTAGTACTTCAAAATAAAAATATACTGCATGCTGTCCTATTTTATATAACCTTCTTTAGAGCATTCTTGGCATTTATAATTATTAGTCTCTATTTTTGTATTTCAGCAATTCCATTGAACAAACAATTGTATAGCTTCAGTTATGTATGCCTTACAGCTGGTGCTGCCGCACTTGTATTTTCAGCTTTTTATCTTCTGGTATGTTATTCATTTTATGGTCTGAATCATGAAATTGATAGCTTTTAGCAATTCACGAATATTCATAGTCCAATGGTGTGACCATGATGTAAAAATGGACCGTCATTGTAATTTTGAAGCACTGTTAATTCTTTTGCTTATAGACCTGGTATTGCACATTTTATAGAGAAGGTTAGAAACTGCTTTATGTTATTGAGATATCAAAATTGTATCTTCAGTGTAGAAATCACTTACTTTTGGGGAGAAAATATGCTTTGAAACAACAAGATAGTAGAATATAACCTCATTCCAGGTTATTCATCCTTGAGCTCCCCAGAGGACCTCCATTTTATGTTCCACCAAGATGCTACGGGTTCCCTAGGCTGATACAGTTATCATTGTTCCCCTAAATCTTGTTCCATTATGTTCTTTCCGCATTGTAATAAAAGAAGTGTTGTCCATTCTTCATGAGTTTAATCTCATGTCAAGATGTTCCTTATGTGAAAGGGACCACTTACACTGAAGTGCATTCATTTAGTGCCCGAACTATAGATATGGGAGGTATCTTTAGGTGTGTCAATGGGTTGGGTCGGGTCCAAGTCAACCTGGACCTGGGCCCAACCCTGACTCAAGTAGGGTCCAGGGTTTTGGACCTGGGACCGACCCATCCGTTCCAAAACTTGGACCCGGACCAGGTCTGGTTCGTGTTTGGGTCTAGGCCAGGTCTAGAACTTAACAAAAACATTATGAACAACTATTGAAAAAAACATTATTTCAAATATATACACATACACAAACACATCATACATGTAGGCAAATTTATCAAAACATTATATATTTAAAAAAATATTTTATACATATATATAATATATGTGTGCGTATTGTGTCTGTTTATATGTTCGGGCCGGGTCGACTTGGACCCAGACACCCCACCCGTATATGACTTAGATCCAAGGTTTTGGACCCGAACCTGACCCAACAGGTCCGAAACTTAGACATGGACCCGGATCTCGAACAGGTCGACTTGACTCGATTGCTACCCCCAGACATCATTTTAAATTAGGGGATTTTTTAATCCTTGGGGTTCTCATGTCATATTTCACCAAACAGGGGATGATTTTGTTGTCATGAGATTGCGGCCGTTGGTACTATAGGCATTTATGATGCGAATTGCGTTAAGTGAATAATTTATGAAAGAAGCATGGGCCAAGAGGGGCACCTAGTTGGTTTTAACATTATCCTGTTGGTTGGTCTAGGAAATGTCACATTTCCACCGAAAGTATCAGTGGAGATTTACATTTTTGTGATATAGATACAATATTCTAAAATCCTCTTTGCTATAACACAACTGTTTCTCCTTGCTATCAGGTTGATATTTGGGGATGGTGCAGTATTTTTCTACCCCTAGAGTGCATTGGAATGAATGCCATGCTTGTCTTTGTAATGGCGGCTGAAGACATATTTGCAGGATTCATCAATGGGTGGTACTATAACGATCCGCACAATACATTGGTAGGCCTCCAGTGCTTTTCAAAAGGGAAATCTATAAAATTTTCACTGTTTTTTCAAAAAAGTTAAAACAGTATGGGATTTAAAATGTCGTATAACTAATGTGATTGTATCACAACGAAGTGTCGACCCATTTTACTGCCGTAACCTTTCTCAATAAGTAGCAGCGATTTGCTGAGTCTCTCTCTCTCAATGTGAACACATTTTTCTCTCTCATGATTTTTGAGGTGATCCACTGGCAGGTTTATTGGATTAAGAAGCACGTTTTCATCAAAGTGTGGCACTCCGAAAGGGTTGGCATTCTCCTTTATGTCATATTTGCTGAGATCCTGTTCTGGGGCCTTGTGGCTGCCATTTTGCACAAGCGTGGGATCTATTGGAAACTCTGAAGCCTACGCCATATGTTCGTGTTTCATAATTTCGTTTCTTTTTTTTTCCCAGTTGTAAGTCTTGTTGCTGTGACATGCTTAGCTAGATACCTTTGATATGTTCGTGTTTCATAATTTCGTTTCTTTTTTTTTCCCAGTTGTAAGTCTTGTTGCTGTGACATGCTTAGCTAGATACCTTTGTAATTGTAGAGTTACTGCTTGGACCATAAAACCCGTGTTTCAAAACTTAGAATTGGCAATTCCAACCCAGATCGTTCATTTGGGTGATCAGGCTGACAATGGAGCGTTAAAAACAAAAGAATAAGCCGCATTGATTGAAGTTCCCACATTGAGAGAGAGATTTTCAAACAGACATGGATTTATAAGTTAATAGATTTTTAATAATTTTGAGGCGCATGGAAATTTTTCTTGAAAGTGGCTATGAACCATGAACTTCAGGTAAGAACCATATAGCAATTCACAGAACTTTTACATGTATAGATCCATACAAAATCAGCCAAAGAAGGAAGCAATTTATGGACTCATACTGCACCGGTAGAAATTTAAACTAAAGCTCGAGGTGTAAGAGCTGGAAAATCCCAGAAAGAAGCATCTATCAGAGTTGAATCGTTGAAAAAATGAAGCTTTCTCACTTCCACAACTTCCTCAATGACATGTTCTTCTCTGTTTCCTTCTTCATAACTTTGGCCACTGCCATCTCGAAATCCTCCTGGGTAACGTGCACCCGACGTTCTCTAAGAGCGAACATTCCAGCTTCTGTGCAAACGGCCTACACATCCAAACGTTTATTAGAAGGTAGAGAGTGAACCGCATGCGAACCCAAACATTTATGAGAGAGAGAGAGATGACACAAGTTAAAGTGCACCTTGAGTTCAGCCCCGGAAGCACCATTCATCTTCTCTGCAATCTTCTTTAGATCAATTCCCCGCATAAGATTCATTTTCCTCGAGTGGATTTTCAAAATATCCAAACGAGACTGTCACAGGGAAAATTAACTCAGTTCCATCACCCCCACTACCCTCAACTATGAACCTATGAACACAGCACATTAATATGAAACCATTACCCCCACTACCCTCAACTAAGAACCCTATGAACACAGCACATGAATATGAAAGCACCCATTTTGAGTGCCACTTGTTATGTAAATATTCCTCATTTTGAACTTACATTAGTCAAAATAAGGGACAAGTGCCAACTCTGAACTAAAAATTAGACCCTCAAAGGTTATGTGGATTATGCATCTCTTAGTTCCGCAGTAAAAGAACTAGAAAAAAGCGGAAAAGTACCTCCTCATTAGGATTTGGGAATTCAATCTTCCGGTCAATGCGCCCAGGCCGAAGAAGGGCTTGGTCAAGAATGTCGATGCGATTAGTGGCCATCAAAACCTGGAAATGCAGTGAGTTTTAGTCCCTCTAGGAATTAGTTTATGGTTTCGGCATAATTAATTGATAAAGCCCAAGTTTGATATCACCGAAATGGTCAAACCACCTGAAATAATCAAGATAGTCAACTAATTTAACATCACCATTGGTACTTTGTAAAGTCCATTTCACTCGAGTACCTCCTTAAAAAATTTGTTTAAAAATGTTTAAATCCTTCATACCAGTTTCCTAACCTTGAACAAGTAGGAGCATGTTGTAAATTTGATCCACATACACAGACAAAGACAAAGGACATAACTTATTCAATGTCAAGAACCCGGAACTTGCTTTTTTGATGGGGTTTCTATCCTCGAACATAGAGGGCAAATTATCATTGGCCCGAGCAAAACGGTGATTCTACTGCCACTTGTTCAAGTTTAGGAACTCAAGTCATTTTTTTCCTATCAAAATCATTGTTTTGAGTTCCTAACCCTGAGAGACATAGGCATTTATGTCATTTCACTCAAGTCAATTAAGTGGAGCCAAATTAGCAAATCCCACCTCTTGTTTAGGGTAAAGGAGCCAGAATAGAGTTGATTTGGCAATTTTTAAACAAGTTTACATATATACATAGTGAAATGAATCTCATAAAGTAACTACTCTAATGCCAAATTGGTTGATTTGACCACCGTAATGATTTTTCAGGTGGTTTGACATTTTTGTGATATTTTTATTTTTCTTTTTTCTAATATAATGGACATAATGGTACCTTTATTTTGTTAGATGCTTCAAATCCATCAAGTTGATTCAAAAGTTCAAGCATTGTTCTTTGGACTTCACTATCCCCATTGCCTGTCCCAGATTCCATGCGGGCGGATCCTATACTGTCGATCTCATCCATGAAGATGATTGAAGGTGCATGTTCTCTGAGAAACAAGTAAAACCACCCCACAAAGTTGTTTAAAATATAAAAATAATAAAAAGTGTCAAAAAATTAAAAAGGGCCCAATGGCTAATGATAAAATGTTGTCCTTAGTGCTACAAATGAAAGCTAATTATCAGATAATGTAGAAAAACAGAAGAAATAACAACCATAAGATACTAAGCAAGGTGGTTTAAACTTTGAACAAAGATTTTGGGAAACAAAAAAAAGGGAAGCACACGTACAAGGAATTTATAACAAGTTAACTTTACATATTTCAAGATCCCTACATCGTTCACTGAGTATCAATGTAAGCAAATATTATTGAAAATAAAAAAACATGCATAACCTCAAGCAAAGCTACAGGCAATTTTGGGTTTCCTTGTGTTTATCATCCAACTCCATAACAAGTTTCCAAACATGATACGAAAAGCTCAGGCAATGAGATAAATTCTCGAAAAGAAAAAGAATAAAAAAAAAGAGCCCAAGGAAGTACGCTTTGTTGAAAGTATCGAATAAAAATTTAGAAATCAAGACACTCAAGAGGACAGGTGTAGGATATCTTGAATCTAAATATAATTTTACATTGTTGGAATGCAAAACCAAGTGAGACAGATTGACAAGCAGAAGCACAATTTGGGTAATGGGAGGGCCTAGCAATGATGCAGTCATCAATCAACTAAAATAGAGTCGAGAAAAACCATAAAACAAAAATTCAAGGTTGAGGGGATGGGTCCCAATTCTTATAAGGGGGAAGCTGACATCTTAGGATGTCAGAGGCTTTGGCAGGCCTAGAACAAAAGTTAACAGTTAAAGATGTGTGCAAAACAAGGTTCATAGAGTGCTGATCAAGGAAATCAATATGGAAGGTAGAGGCATTGTTAGAAAAATCGGACGATCTAACCAGTAACCGCCGGGTTAGATCAAAACTGGCCCCTTGCCGGTTCCGGTTTCGGGCTGTTTTGGTGATCGACCGGTATTTTAAAAGTAAAAATTCAAAAAAATGTCTATAAAATCCCAAAAATAAGGAATTTGATTTGTAATACATTTTTTAATATTTTTTGCATTAAAAATTGTTTTTAATACATACTTTTAAAATCCATTTTTTCATTAATTTTCATCTTCATTTAATTGCATTTTGTTTTAATCATTATTTATATGCTT